AGTAGAATCATAGAATACTAGGATTGGAAGGGACCTTGAGAGGTCATCGAGTCCAGTCCCCTGCCCTCATGGCAGGACCAAGTAAATACAGTAGACTTCCGATAATCCGGAACCTATGGGACCTAGGTGGTGCCGGATTATCAGATATGCCGGACTATCAGGAGGTACATAAGCTGATTATATATATACTGTATACATTATATGCTATATATAAAGGCTACATCTACACTGGCCTCTTCTTCGGAAGGGGCATGCTAATTTTGAACTTGGGAATAGGGAAATCTGCGGGGGATTTAAATATCCCCCGCGTGATTTAAATAAACATGGCCGCCACTTTTTTTCCTCCGGCTTGGGGAAAAGCCGGAAAAAAGCGTCTAGACTGGCGTGATCCTCTGGAATAAAGCCCTTTTCCGGAGGATCTCTTATTCCTACTTTGAAGTAGCGCCAGTCTAGACGCTTTTTTCCGGCTTTTCCCCAAGCCGGAAAAAAAGCGGCGGCAATGTTTATTTAAATCCCGCGGGGGATAGTTAAATCCCCCGCGGATTTTCCTATTCCCAAGTTCAAAATTAGCATGCCCCTTCCGAAGAAGGGGCCAGTGTAGACGTAGCCAAAGTGTTCTTAACCCTTTTTATTGTACATAGTGTATACAGTATACTGTAATGTTTTAGTTTTTTAAAGCCTTTTTTACCCTTTTTGCTCAGTTCAGCTGCGGCTGCTGTTACTTTGTGGCTCATTTTTTGCTGAAGCTCACTCACTAGGCTCTTGCCATTTTGATGCTGGACTATTGGATGCCGGACTATTGGAGTTTTACTGTAGTTCTTCTACCTCCCTCATGCTTACCTGCCACGTGTGTTCATAGAGACTAGTCATGTCCCCTCTGAACCTTCATTTTGCTAGACTAAACAAGCCATTTAGTCTGTTTAGTAAGATAACTCCATTCTCCAGATCATCTTAGATGGCCTTCTCTACCTTTGTTCCAATTTATATACACCTTTCTGAGACCTGGGTGACCGGAACTGGACACAGACTTCTAGATGGGTTTTTACTAAGGCCTTGTGCAATGGCATTATTATTTCACTGTCTGGAAATATTACTGGAAATACCTCACTTGATAAATTCTAGGTTCACATTTGTCTTTACAGCCACTTCTTGTGATCAACTAATTCACTCAGGCCTTTTCTCCTCTTTTATCATTTCAAACATGATGGGCTCCATTTTATAGCAAAAATACTTACTGTTAGTCCCAAGGGGCAGGATTGAACTTTCATTTCATACTATGGCTAATATGACCCATCCCAAACAAAAAGAAAAATATAATTTTCAAATGACAAATGATACAAGCCTAACCATTTATATCATGTTTTTCTCTCAGGACAAAACCCAGATGATACCTATGCACACCCCCTCACTGGTTTATTTTCTCCATATCTCATCTTTAAATTTCAAGCTTTCCTTCTGCAACCATAAAGCTGATGTTTCTATAAGGATGCTACGTTCCAAGGTGGCTGCATTTGTCACATGATTTACCAATCACACACTACTCTCATGGGAGTTCCTCTCTTTGGCTGTGTCCAGACTCAGGAGTTTTTTCGGGAAAAATAGCCTTTTTCCGAAAAAACTTCACCTGCGTCTAGACTGCAGCCGCGTTCTTTCGAAATTAAATCGAAAGAATGCGGCTTTTCTTTCGACGGTGGTAAACCTAATTCCATGAGGAAGAACGCCTTCTTTCGAAAGTGCTCTTTCGAAAGAAGGCGTTCTTGAAAGCAAACAGGCTTTTTAGAAAGAGAGCATCCAGACTCACTGGGTGCTTTCTTTCGAAAAAGCGGCTTGCTTTTTCGAAAGTTCGCGTGCAGTCTAGACGTTCTCTTTCGAAAGAGGCTCTTTCGAAAGTATCTTTCGAAAGAGCCTCTTTCGAAAGAGGCTTGCAGTCTAGACATAGCCTTTGGGAAACCTTTAGCTGGTCTGCAGCTCCATATCCAGAGTTCCAGGGGATGAACCAGAAACACTTGAACTTCTGCAAAGTATAGAAAGCATGGGATAGTAATCTCTTCCTGGGCCAAGTTTCTCTCAGGTAATTCTGAAGTTTCTCCAGAAAGCATAATCTCTTCCTTTAGCCTTCTTAGGATGATAGTTCCTTTTAAGCTGTCACCAAGGCCATCTGGACTAGGTCTTGTCCATAGACCTCCTCTGCTTGTCCATAGGGCCTCTTCTGTGACTGAAATCACAAACTGCAATTTTTCTAAACATCTGTTAATTTGCTCTTCTGAGGAGTTATGAATCTAAAAAGCCATAGCAGTGATGCATGGTCTATCCTTACTGCAAGCTATATTCCATGCAAATAGTTATGAAAATGTCCCCCAGATTTAATCACTGAAAAAGTTTCTTTCAGGTGATGAGATTTCTGAAGTTTCTCTCAGTTGATTCCTCTCCAGAAAGCATTTTCTACATATAAGAAGCCACCTTCAGCTTAAGTCCCTTGTGTCAACACTGCCCCAAAACTATTAATACAACTATCTACATCCAATATCAAAAAAGGTTTTTAAATGTGTGTAGACTGAGACAGGACAGTCACAAGAGTCTTCTTCAACTGTGAAAATGCTAAATCATGCTCTGCTGTCCTCTGAAATGGTTTCCCTCTTTCACCCAACCTATCCAGTGGTCTTGAAATATCGCAAATCCACAAATAAACTTTATATAACAGTTCTGCACATCTGTTGAGTGTCTGGGGCATTGGCTAGTTCTTCACAGCCTCAATTTTCTGTTTGCCAGGGGAAAATCCCCCTCATTTATTGTGTCTCCCCAGTAGATTATCTCTTTTAGAAACAACTCCTATTTCTCTAGAGTCAGTTCCAAGTTAGCAGCATTAAACTTATCATAGATCAGTTGTAAATATGACAATTCCTGTTCAAAGGTTTTAGCATTGACGAGAACATTATCTAGACATAACAAACAGGCTGAAAGTGGCACGCTGTGTAGTATCCTCTCCATTAGTTTGGAGCCAAATTCAGGCCCTACTTTATTTTATTTAATTTATTTATTTTTAGGTTGCATGGACACAAAAATAAATTCACCTTGCAAGAATACTGAGAACATGGGCCTATGTTCAGATAAGCACAGGCACATAGTCTGCCTTTTGGAATATTAGTCCTGCTATGAAAAGGAGTGATCTGAATGTGATGCTAGGAGACCAGGTTAGTATGTGTTTGAATAGGCAGCCAAACCTGTTGCTCTTATTAAGAGCCACAGCGTTCAAGAACGACGCTACAATAGCTATATATATATTATAGTCATTCAAATTTAGCTGGCATCTAGGAAGAACCTTTGGAAACCTGGTCATTGCACTGACTTTTAAACTCTCACATTGTCAGCTTTGAGTTACAAAAGCCGCATCCTCTGATATGGAGCAAGTTTTACTAGTCTAAATATTAGTACATCAGTGGCATATTTGTCAATATGTTTCTTAGCATCCAATACAATGTTGGCCACCCTCATTTGGATGAAATTGTTCTCTGATATAAGGCACTTCTACTCTCAATACAGAAACTCCTATGGCTTTCTAGATACAGTTCAGTGCCACAGACTGTGAGCTCAGTCATGCTATTTCTGACCTTCATCTACTATCTGTGGCTCTTCTCTTCCATACACCCAGTCCGCCATCCCAAGCTCTGTACCTCCTCACTTCCCCTCACACACACAATCCAGGCAATTGGGTGAGGAAAACATTGCAGTCTTTACTTTACCACAAAGTTCTTATACCATAAACAGTGAGGGAAGGGAAACATTTGTGAAAGTTAGAAAATAACCTTGGCAGCATTCTGCTAACAGTCATTTGAATAAAGACAGCAAGCTCTTTCTTTGCAACAGAAAGATATAGCTGTATTTAACTTTCCCTAGTTTTTTTTAAGCAGAGATATTTCTTGAAATGCTCCACCCCAGAAAACTCAGCTCAGTTTGTCTATCAGTGAGTTAATGGCAAAGGCCAGTGCCACCACCCAGTTTAATTACTCGCTGATTGCTAAATGAAAAGGTGTTTGTGTAGATGATTAGCAATCAGCTATCAGAAAGAATAGCATTATTTTGCAAGCCAGTGTTTTATTTTGCAAAATTACCTCAACCAAAAATGCCACATTCAAACCAGGACTATGGATAATACAAAGGAGGGGCTGTTTTGATCTTATCTTATCATCCCATTTGTAGAACAAGTGGTGCACAAAGAAATTTAACAACTACTTAAGGTTTTATCACTCTGGGGTAGGAAATTCACACATTTCCCCAGGAAAAGCTTAGGTAAATGAATCTTTCATGGAAACATCATTTAGACAGTTTGGTTTAGAGAGATTCATTATTGTGACAATTTTCTTCCACTATTTGATCTGAGGAAGTGGGTCTGGCCCACGAAAGCTCATCGCCTAATAAACCATCTTGTTAGTCTTTAAAGAGCTACATAGTCCTGTATTTTGTTTCAGCTATGCCAGACTAACACAGCTACATTTCTAACACCATTATTTATACAAATTCAAAACTTAACAGCTATCTAATCAAAAGCAAAAAAATTTCTGTTTAACTCATAATTGCTTTATTCCCATGATATTGACATTTTAAGGGAAAGTGCATTTAAAACACAAGCCACTTTAATAGTGCTTGGACTCCATGCCATGTTTAATAATGATACAAACTACAAATATAGGAAAGGGAAATTATACTAGTCAGGATAGGACTACTTCTGCTACATGATAGGATTCGTATAAGCTAATTACTTTTTCTGCATTAAATTATACTTTCTATTATGTTTCAATCTAAGGCATTTTATCACAATATCAAAGTGTAATATCTAAAACACTTTACACTTGTCAGAGCAAAGTCTCTGCTTTCTTAAGTTAACAATAAATTGTGTAGTGCTTCTATCTAGCCTCACTTTACTTGTAAATGTATTAATACAATCCTATATTTAAGATACTGTTATAATACTTGGAAAGAAAGAAAAACTATTCCTACCGTACCAATTTGTATTTCTTATCCATGAGTTATCAGGAGCCTGGATCACTTTTCTTAGTCACTGTAAGAGCTCTTCTCTTTTCCTCACAGTGAGAGTGAATTGGAAGAGATGCAGTGACCCTGGCTTGTTTTGTTTGTCCACTGTATCCTTGCTTTGAGATTGATCCAATGCAGATGAAGTCAGGGTGCCAGCTGTCCTTGGAGGACAATGGCTCAATTGGAAGAGCCCTTTAGAACAAAGGAGCTGCTTCCAGGATTGATTTTACATGCACACATGTGACCTTTGCCTCAAATGACTCTATGGAAAGTGTCAACCCACTACAGATCAGCTTTTAAATGAATCACTGGGATGTGCATGAGTAAGTCCTTTGACCACATACACATTCAAGAGAGGTCACTCTGTGTAGAGATAGCAATGTGATGCAAAGTTTTTTCTAATCATTTCACAGAATTAAGTAATGGATCTAATAGTTTCTGGTCCTTTTGAGGAGCCTTGGGCATATTCTTCAAACTTGGGTGCTTAAAGTCTGGCACTTAAATTCATATTTAGGTACTTAACTAAGGGGCTCTGATTTTCAGAAACTCTGAACATTTTCAGCTCCCACTCACATCATTGGGAACAGCACTTTGCTAAGGTGCAAAAAATATAGTTTTAGGTGCCCAATTGTATGCATCTAGATTTCAAAATTATGTTCTTTGGTGGGGAGGGGAGGCTTTATTGTACAATATTTATACTAATTCCTGTTCTGCAAATGCATTTTTAAACATTCATTTTATGCAGCTATTCTTTTAACTAGATTTCATAATATTAAGATTAATCAGGAATTGGACAAATCCACATTTTTCCTGTTTATGGAAGATCAGTGGGTAAATAGTTTGTGAGCATATTATTAAAGACTGTGTTATAATGCATATGAACAAAGAGGGGATAAATAAAAGATGCACAGGCAATCTTAATTCTGGCATTTCTAAACTTCTGAAGGATTGACTTTGCAATCTTACTAATGTTCTTTTAATATCTATATGCGTTAAAAGAACTATTATTACTATTTAATTAGTTTTATATATTTAATAATAATGTTCTTTTAATATACATATAAAACCAAAAAAATGTTTTTGTATTTGAAAATTGTTCTGCAGTATCTACAACCTAAATATTTCAGCATGACAATAATTAATGAGAACCAGCAAATGAAGCAGAGGAGAAATAAAATTAGAACACTTCCCAATCACAGTACATAAGTGCTTTTCGGCCACACAAGTCAAAGTGCTTTACAAAGGTGGACAAAATAAACCTGTTTTAAAGATGAAGGAAAATGAGGTACACAGAAGCCAGCCAGCAAGTCAATTTCAGAGCCAGGAACATAACTCAGGAGTTTAAACTCAGAAAATGTGTGCTATCTGAAATTATTCCCTTTTTCAAATTGAAAGAAATGCAAAAAATAAACAATCAAGACAGGCCTGAAAAGTAAATTAGACTTTTAAATATTTGCTTTAATAATATCATTCTTATTAACCAAGAACTTTGTGGTATTATAAAGTACACTTACTGTGTGGCAGTGTCCTCAATAAGCTTGAGCCAAACCCTAGTGCAATGATTCCCAACCTTTTTCCCATGGAGGAACCCCTAAAATAATTGTTCATATCCCAAGGAACCCCTACGTATGAAAATGTTCGCTTGGCCAGAAAAAGTTGACAGCGGGGAGCGCAATTCAATTACTGCTAAATTATTATCAAGAAAATTTATTTGTAAAGAGCTGTTATAGCTATCTAATCTATCTATCTATCTATCTATATGTCAGCTTACATTGTAAGAAATTTTTTATTTATTTATTTATTCCATGATTTCTCGTGGAATCCCTGACGACGGTCTGTGGAACCCCAGGGTTCCGTGGAACCCTGGTTGGGAAACACTGCCCTAGTGAAATCAATGGAAAACCTGATTATACATCCCGAAATAAATACCCTGCGTCTACACAGGCCGCCCATTATTTCGAAATAATGGACGTGCTGTTTCGCCATTAACCTAATTGCACAAGGGATATGGGTTGGCTCGAAATAGCGTGTTATATCAACATTTAGTTCTGTGTTGATGCGCCAAATTTTAAAATAGCCTATTTTGAAATAGATTTTAAATAAAATATGCAATTTTTTTAACACAAATTGTGTATCTTATTGTGGGTTTAGGGTGCTGTGTGGAGGCTCCCTTAATTATAAAAGTCCTGGACAGTAAGCCTCTGCCCTGCTACTTCTCTTGGCAGATATGGCACTGTGTAAAATAGCTCACTGTCAGTGCTTTTTCGCTTGGTCCTTTTAGTTAGCCTATATTTGCAATCTCTTAAAATTTCATCATAAGCCTCATAACGATGGCCCTGATAATACAGAATTTAATGGCATGCTAATGGAATTTAAATTAGCTATGCTCAAATGCTTTGCTAAATCCAGAATTACAGCCCCATGTATCTACCTAAATTTTTCCATATCCTGGGTGTTGCACTTGTAGACAGTTGTCATATCCCTCCTCTACTTAGTTACCTTTCACACTAGAGATAATTAACTTTTTAATGATTCCTTGTGTCATATTTGTGCTAGACTGACATGTAAATAGTTCGGTGGATTTTTGTACATATTTTAATGACATAGCACCTTGATCTCATAATTATTTACTTCTGCTCCTTTGAGCAATATTCAATTAATATAAATTCAACCTAGTAGTTTCAACCTATTCTTATTTTATATACGCTAATGCAAAATATTTTATAAAGTAAAAAAACCTAATTCTGCTCTGATTGAGGTAATTTCAAAGTGTATCAATGGGAACAGGGCTATTACATCCCATGTTATTAAATAGGCTTGCAGTAAACACAGTTGAAAGATGTCATGAGAATGTTATAACTTCCTGAGACGTTTTTGAATTGTACAATTTGTGGTTTAAAATGAATGTGACCCCATCAAATTACTTATTTTTAATATTTGAAATGGAAAAAATAATTGTTTTCATTAAGGTAGCTTAGAACATAAGCAGGGGTTTAGTCATTTGTTTATTCTCTGGCTATAAAGGATGTTTTCTTTTTTCCAGTTGGTTGCACAGCTAGTTTTTTGGGGTGTTGGGAGAAAAGTCTTGTAACAGATTACTGAAATTATTTTATATGTGTATTAAACAGTATTAGGCAGGTGATTTATGACACAGAGGCAATGAAAACCCAAGTACAGATCCCAGAAAACAATGATAGAGCTAAAGATTATAAATTATGGTCTTTATCCTGCAAAAGGATCCATCTCTGCTGAGTCCCATTGAAGTAGACTTGGGACCCTTCAGACATCATATGAGCACTGCATGAATATTATTGGAATCCTAATCACAAATAATAACAACACAATCCCATTGCAAGATTCAGTGCCTAAAGGGTGTGATCCTGTGAGGTACTGAATGATGAGGGCACCTAGCAGGCAAGGGCGTCTTTTTGGAAGGCCAGAAAGGGCTGCAGCCAGGCATACTGGGACACTGCTTGCTCTTTTTCCCATTCCCCTCACTATCAGAGCATGAAGGGAAAGTATGCAGCGGTGAGCAGAGCTGTATACTTTTCCCTCATGCCCTGTAGTGAGCAAAAGGGGAAAAAGAGCAAGCAAAGTCCCTGTATGCACAACTGCACCCTCCCCTCTCCAACCTTCTCAAAATGGCCTCCTTGCCAGATCCTCAAAAGTAAGTCTTGAAATCAGTGGGTATTAGGTACCTACCTACTTGGAGGAGTTGGACCTGAGGACTTAATTTTCAGTGATGCTGAGCAAAGTGCTAACATTTCAATTGAAGTCAATGACAGCTGTGGGTCCCCAAAGCATCTGAAAATCAGGCCCTTCATTTCTTGGTCTTGCACAGTTCGAGGGAGGTTCTGAGTACTTAAATCAAGCCATTTGTTAGATGCCAAAATATGGATTTCAGGTAACATGAAGCTCCTAGTTTTGAAATCTTGTTTACATATGTCCCGATATGCTAGAAATTCAGTGCTTATCTGGCACTTTTTAATCCTTTTATTTCTGTGTTTGTATTAAATCTGTATTATAGTTAAAAAAAACACATCAAAAACACCATTCCAGCTCTCAAGCGTGTCATGGAAAGAAATGGAAAAAAATAGTACTTTGCAGAATCTGCACTGCAAATATTAATGAATTATGAATAAAAGATTGTGACTTATAAAGCAAACTCATAATCCCTCCTTAATATTAATCTGTTCCATATTTCCCTTTTGGAAGTGAATTATGGTTTTAAAATATCCTTAAGATTTATTTAATGTATTGCTTAATCCAACCTCACTGACCCCCTGAGCAGAAGAACATGACGTGGTTTTGCTTCATTAGGAGCCTTTCATGGCTTCTATGCCTGGGCTTAGTTTCACCTACTGTGAACAGGCTTATGCACGAGGAAAACAACTTAGATTTTTGTGTCCAGAACTGTACAGCAAAAGGTAATAGAATAGTAGACAAGCACAGTTCAAAGGTCTGTGCTAATAGAAAAAATATTCTGATCTGGTGCCTTTATAGGCATGGTTTGAGTCAATCCCTATAGTAATCTGAATGGATTATGATATACAGTATGTATTTGCTTGGGCATGTTTTCCCCAAGTGTTTTAGTTCCTTAATTTTCAACAGCTACCAGTTAGCCATAAATATTTTCTTTGGTCTGAAACTTTTTTTAATTTATTCTTTCCAGAAGAAGTGATAGTGAAGTATTCATCCCGTTAAGAAACGGTTTATAAAAATCTCTACCAAAAACTCACTGCTCCCAGCTCCTGAAATTTCACCACCCTGAGCTGTGTGTGCCCCACTCTGTCACAAAGTCCTCAAAGAGCCAAATTTTCAATTGGGGTAAAGTGGTGCAGTTCCAGTGAGCTAGACAAATTTAGGGTTTGGCCAATTGGGTGCAGCTAACTTTAGGGTTGCCAGGTGTCCGGTTTTGAACTGAACAGTCCGGTATTTGAGCTTTCTGTCCGGGAAACAAATTGAGAAAATACCAGACATATAAATGTCTGGTATTTTCTAACTAAGTAAGTTTTATTATTATCATGAGTATCAGTATGTAGTTGCGTACTGCCTGGCTGATAGACATGCTCATACTGCGTGAGCATGTCTACTAATCAGGCAATACAGTACTACACAGTAGAGAGGACAGGGTGGGGGCAAGGCCGGACTGGACTCACCCATCCGTGGGACAG